ATGCACAGTATATTATTGATGTAAACTTAGACTAAAACTTACCATTCATAAATGTGTAAGAATTCAAGCATGAAATAGCACTTTTTTTAAACTATTACTTTTGCGTATAATCGGAAAAAACAGTCATTTTTTTATTCTGTTTTTAAAGAGAAAAAAAGCAAAATACAAAAATAACAGAATGTTATCCTCTAAAAAGTCTCTAAAACTGAATACTCGGGGATTGTAAGGTTAACACATTGCTTAAAGGGCACATAGTTTACCCCTTTTACCCCAGAAAGCACTTTTTGGTACTCTCTGGCCCATAAAATCTAATCTCATTACGGCCTAGGCACTGCTTGGATTCAAACCCAGGAACTCTTGTTTACTAGACAGGCGCTTTAACCAGCTAAGCCACAGCGTCAGACAGGGGCCTAAAAAAAAATTTAAAAAATTAAAAACCTTAAGCGGTAGCGCTGCATGTGTGAATGTCTTGAAATATTAAAGTCCAATTGGTTAGGCATTACCACACTATGCTTTATAAAGCCATCGTCCAAAGCCCTCTTGAACGAGCAGCGTTCTTAAGAATTTGAGTTTTTTAAGAAACCGACTGCTAAACAGCTTGCTGCGTAAACACTTGTAAATCTTAAGAAGAAGCAACTGTACATTAGGCACTGCTGGGATTTTAACCCAGAAAGTCCTGTTTACTAGACAGGCACTATGACCAGCTAAGCCACAGCACCAATGGTGAAAAGAGGCAAGACGTTTTTGCACAAAGAGATTAAAAAAAGACTGCAAGTCTTAAAACAGCAACCAAAGAGGTTGCTATTTATTGATTAGCAAACCATGTTATGTCATACCTGTCAACACTGGGATGTAAAAATATGGGACAACAATTAGCTTTAAAAAGAAGACATAGCAAACATTAGAAAATATTAACAATAATATAAAATATTTTGCCAATTAAAATCTATGGTCTATACAGAAAATAAATCAAGTTATAAAATCCCATTTATTTTTACTGTATTTAAATATTGATTAGCATTACTACAGTTATTTAGTGAAGAGCAGCAATGTCTTATTTTGTTTTTTGATAACAGAGGTGTCACTGTAATGCCGAGTTCAGACTGCGTTATTTTAGCCCCGATTTTGGCTCGCCGACAGGTTTTGAGAAATCGCCGACAAATGCCTGAAATCACAGGCAAATCGCCGCTCGTGCACGTGAGTGACAATTACACAGTATGAACTATCAAAGACGCGATCTGAGAGAATCGCCGATGAGTCGCCGATGCCTGTGAGATATTTGGCATGCTAAATATCTGGAGCTGTCGGCGATTCAAATCATGCCGTGTGAATTGAGTTTTGACTGAAAATAACATCAGCCATCGCCTACAGCCAATGAGAGAGCAGCTTTCACTTGTGTGTGCGTGTGTGTATACCTGCTGCAGGCCAGCGGGAGGCTGGGGGAGAAGTTAAAAGCTCTCTTTTTCGGTTTATTTGGACCCACGAAATGGAGGAAAAACTAGTGGAGGTTTGACAGGACTCAGGAGCAACCGTGTCTGTTTGACGTTTCATACAGAAAGAAATTAGTTTATTATCAACGTTGAGGAGAAATGGCTAAATCCCTTTAAACCCAGGTGAGCAAACATGTACATGCTCTACCCTATTAAAGGCTTCTTTCTCATTATGTAGTTAATAACAAAAGATATACTACGTGTTTTTGGCTGAGACGTAGTTTGGACGAAGTTGTCAGCGATTCTTCCTATAGTAAAGTCATGCAATGTGAATGTCCCAGTCGCCGATCAATCTTGCAGTGTAAACAAAGCAGCGACGAAACGCTAGCCCAGATAGTCAAACAGTGTGAAAACATCTGTGACACGACTACTTTGAAAATCATGCAGTCTGAACTCGGCATAAGAATGCACAGATCTATAGGCTAATGAAAGCATTCGATTAGTTTAGTAACTGTTTGTGCTCATTTAAGAAAAAATAAAGTTGTGTTTTTAAAAATAATACAAGCAGAACAAACATGTTTACATATTATTAAATGTATGTGTCTGTTTAAACACACATAAATCCCCAAAGTATGCTAAGCTTACGCTCATCTTTAAATTGCATGTACAGAAGCGGATCTGGGAACAGTATATCACACAGAGCACGTCCAGTAGTCAGACTGCATGCATACACCGATTCAGGGGTTGCGTCGATCGACGCACAGCTTTAACAGGAAAAAAGTGAATGCAGACATTTTTATTAACATGCTTTCAAGCCAAAATAAAGCGAAAGCACAATTCTCTTGCACAGCTCTTGTAACTTATATCACATTTGAGATCGGCTCTGTTTTGACAGTACTTTCACTATTCATAGAAAGTTTAAACATACAGGGCAACTACGAGGAAATACTTAAACTTGATGATAGCTGGGAAAACCGGAGAGTTGACAAGTATGTGTCTAGCTAATTAATGGCTTAATCAATCACGGATACAGTAAAATAATCATCTTTGTTGTAACATTACCTCTGTCTTTGTCGCGTTTTTCCTCCTCTTCTTGTGTTTTTTTTTTTTGCCACCCCTGCGCACTAGACTGTTTGAGAGGGTTTGGGACGTTTTGACATATTGAGCATGTTGACCCATCAAAAAAAAATGAACACCGTAGCAGGTACAGTCTAATTATTCAGAGGGGGCGTCTTAGGCGAGTAGGTTTTATTATTATTATACTACTACTACTTAGTAGGCTATGCACTATGCAGTTATATTAATGTGGGCTTATTCTTTTCTGAATTCATACCAACTTGTTTTAGGCATAGTGGAAGTTACTTTTTTTTCTTCTCCCATTTCTGGCGCCCCCCTGGCCGTACTGCGCCCGTAGCAATTGCCTATACTGCCTATGCCACGGGTCGACCCTGCTGTGATTGATAATGTGACATTAGAATTTAACAACTCATTCTTAAAGCCAAATTGCTTAATTTGTGAACTTTTTGTACTTGGGGTTTAGTTGCACTGAAACATGATCTTATGTCTATTTTCTTATGTCATTTTATCCAATACATAAAACTGCCAGGAAAGTTTCTTTATACTGTAGCACATTTTATACACAATGGTAATTCAAAGTGCTTTACATAAAGAATGCAAAACTATTATTAAAATAATCACAAAAATAATCACAAAGAATTAAAAAAATGTTAACATTTTAATTTTAAATTAATTGATTCACTTAACAACAGAATAGAAATTGATTATACAAAAATACAGTGGGGTTAGTTTGGACGTAGCACAGTGCTCATTAAGCAAATACACCGCTAGACAAAATGCTTATTGTGGTCCTTAATGTAAAGTTAACATTATGCCAAGTCTTCACAAATGAAACAACACATGGGAAACGGCTTTAGCTTAAGTAGCTAATACTTAATTATACCTAATACTTAATAACTAAGTAACTAATGCAGCAGATTTACGCCTGTTCTTCTAATATGATTTTGCTATTTAGAGTTTGCAAATAACACTTTTTATGAAATTATGTTATTAAGGGGAAAGTCCGAATGTGCGAATATAAAACCAAATTTACTTCTATAAAAACATGGGAGAAATGTATCAATAATTCATGATGACTGCAACAGTAAGTGGAAAAAAATGTAAAGAAAAAAAACTTTTGCTAAATTATGTTCCTGCTTTTGGAAATATTATTTTTACCCTTTATACAACATAGTACTATATTATTCTCAGTAACCGAGGGTTATTGTTTGAATAAAGTAACAGAAAAGTGTGTAATAAGTGTTTTAATGAAACGTTTTACTCAATTTCTTTTTGTTAATTAAAAGTTGCGCACAATTTTGCCCCAGCCTATGTCAGTGAAGTGAACTTATTAGACTTTATTTAGCTTGTAGACCGTTAAGATCACCAGTTGATGACCAGTTTTTGTCTGTCCCTCGGTCTCGCTGCAAATCAAAAGGTGATAGAGCTTTCTGTGATAGAGGTAAAGTTGGTTTTTCACACATTCGTTCATTTAGAAGTCTCTGTATTGTTTACCATGTTACTTTGACTATTAGATTGGAATGAGCATGCAAGTGTGGCTTGAAAACAACATTGACACTGTTTATTTGATTGTGAACAATGTACTTTGATAGTCATTTGCTGCTAATATGATTTTACTATTTAGAGTTTGCAAATAATACTTATATAAAAAAATAATATTATTAAGGGGAAAGTCAGAATGTGCTATTATAAACCAACTTTACCTCTAAGGCTCTGGAACAGTCTCCCTCTGAACATTGGGATTGCTACATCATTGGATACTTTTAAATCTAACTTAAAGACTTATTTTTACTCTCTTTCCTTTGAGTGACAAATGCATGTTATTTTTTATTTGTATTTTAGTATTATTTTTAAACATACATTTTTTGTATTTTTAATACTAGTTTTTTAGTTTTATTGTGTAGTTTATTTTATTGTAAAGTACTTTGGATCAACCACGGTTGTGTAAAATTGTGCTCTATAAATAAAGTTTGCCCTGCCTAGAGTGGCAAAAAAGCTAAACAAAAGACTTTTATTTTGGCGTGAGGTGACGTCATCAAGCGGCGCCGCTACAGCGCGGTGATTCAACTGGAGAAAGGTTTGCTTAAAAAGTTTTACAGATATAACCCGATTTAAAGTTAAAGTACTAAAGTTTTAGGGTTTTTATACGATGCTAAATTATGTTAATGCTGTTGGAAATATTATTTTAACCCTTTATACAACGTAGAACTATTTTATTCTCAGTAATCGAGGGCTATTGTTTGACTAAAGTAACAGAAAAGTGTGTGATAAGTGTTTTAATGAAACGTTTTACCAGATTTATTTTTGTTAATTACTCTGATTAAAATAAACTGTTGAAGCAAGTGTTGAAGAGAATTTATTTTATTTCTGTTCATTGTTTTATAAATTTTCAACAGGACATTTTTATTGCTTTATTCATTTTAAACAGGATAAAGTGTCCAAACACAAAGAAAAACTCCTGCTGAAGCGACTGATCTCCACACTGTTATAAAGATGGCGTTTATTAAAGACGAGAGTGAAGATGTGAAGATTGAAGAAACATTCACAGTCAAACAGGAAGATCTGCAGGAACAAACAGGTTGGTTTTCATTCTCAAAGAAAAACTCAGTCATTTGATCCTCATTCAGATATATTTTAATAAGAATACTAAATTAATCCATTTTGCAACCCTGAGTGTACTGTCTAGTTCTCCTAAATGCACATAAGCACTCATTGAAAGACAGAAATGAGTTTCTTTCATTACTTGTTCTCGTGTCTTTTGTCATTATTTTATGTATTATTAGTCTCCCATTTTCTGTACCTTCTTAAGGTTATTGCTTTTCTTGTTCTCCTGCTGTTTGTGAAGCGTCCTTGAGCACCGGCGCTTTATAAAATAAATTAAAAAAGTTAAACTGAGCTGATGATATTTGACCCTACAGTATTCTCAGTGATAGTGTTGGCTTAGTACTTTCCATTTGCATACATCACGTTGATCACAATTCCCCTATTTTCATCAACTTCTTTATGAGTTTAAACTTGTTTCTAGTAGTTGTTACTAGTTCTCACAGATAATATCTGAGTTAGAAGTACATCATTATTACAATAACTAATTACTAGGGCTATTGTGTTTAAACAGGGTTTCCGCTGCGTCATAAAATGTCTTAAGATCCAAAATCAAACAAAAAATTTAAAATCTTTAGCTAGAAATATCTAAAATACATATAAAAAATTATTTATTTATTTATTATTGTGTTTATATATATATATATATATATATATATATATATATATATATATATATATATATATATATATATATTTTTATTTTTTAATGGGGCAAATAAAAATCTTTTCCATCTAGACCATTGGAAAAATTCTTTAGCTTTATCCCTTTATGGGTCTAAAATTTCATTCATAATGGTCTTAAAAATGTCATAAAAAGAAACCTGCAGAAACCCTGGTTTACAGTTTGTCAAATGATGTGGATGCCCCCAATATTAAATATGCTAAATGAAATGGACTCTACAATAATTGTTATAAAACATTGTACAGTATTCTAAGCTATAAGATGTTGCTGTGGGATGACGTGAGACAAAACAAACTAAATATAGTGGAACAATAACATTTAGCATTGCACTGACTAGTGTGAAGTTCGTCAGTATTGACCAAATTCTTCATGTACCAGCAGGCGTCGCCATTGGAATCTTTTTGCTTGAGACTTTTTTTTTAAAGAATTTATTTTTAGATCCTTAAAACAGGGTTATTCTGCTTAGGTATGGAACGATAACCGTTTTCAAGGTATACCACAGTACGACAGTATATAAAAGGTTTTTTTTTTTACATTTTGTTATAAGTTTTTCAGGACAACAGTATCTCCAGCAAAAAATATATCCAAAGATGCCATTTCTTTTGTAAAGAAATTTTTGAAACGAATGATTCATTTGAATGATTCAGCCTGATATGTTTACTGCCCCATAATACTTTCTCCCCCGGTTTCACAAACAAGGTTTAAGGTTAGTCAAGATTAAATTGCATGTTTGAGTGGTCTCAACTCAAAATAACTTTCCGTGAGATAAAATACATCAGTGAATTTTTTTTCTCCAGGTGCACACCAGTAATATATTTTACTAAGGCCATTTTTATAAATTTGGCTTAAATAGCCTAATTTAACTAAGGACTAATCCCAGCTTAATCAAAGCCCTGTTTGTGAAACTGAGCCTCAAAGTTTCTTAAAAGAAAATATATTGTGTTCAAAGGGAAAAAGTTCTTGTTTTTTTACCCAGAGATTAAAAAGAATACATTTTAGAGCAGTAATCACAATACAATGAAACTGTGATATTTATATCCAAGCTTATCATACCGTCAGAATCTTATACTGGCCCATGTCTAATGCTGCTTGATGTTGCAAAGTCGTATTTTCTCATTTTATTATTTTTCTTTGTATGAATAGTCATGAACACATTTGTTTGTAGAGCAAGTAGCCATTTATTATTCCAGGTCATTTCTCCAATAGGCAACTAAATTGGAGGTTCTAAAACAATAGCATATAAGATCAGGTCACTACTATGGCCCCATTTACACTAATGCGTTTGCATTCATCAAATTTGCTTAAACCATGTGTTCTTAAGTATGGCTTTATTTCACAAGGATTCTGACAAAGCAACGTGAAGCAGGCGCTGTACAAAATTTGCGCTTAAGGAGGAAACACATCAAACTTAATAAATCATTTGAGCGCACATGGAATCATCTTAAAGGCAGACGAATGCAGATGTCTTGGACAGCTCGCGACATTATCTGGCACTTTCACTGAGTACATTTATATGGACACCAATACTCCCATTTTAATATGATTGATACTCTTCTTAAGAGTCTACCATGTAAACAGTTGTTTTTAAAAAAAAATTTATTACCTTAATGGAACACCGAGTCACGAAATGCGGAGGTTTTTCTTTCCGTTCGGTATGGGGTATCAATTTCTATTACAGCAAAAGTCTAAAGATTAAAAATGAAACGTACTAAATTAGATGTAATGCTGGAAAGCCTGGTAATGCAGCATTAATTTTTTTCATTAATTATTTTATACTGAAACGTTCCTTCTAAAAGTGCTTCCTTGGTCTTATGCATATTTCTTTGCATGACTACAACAGGAAGTATAACAGCAACTGCGTTAATTTTTTAAAAACATTTTATATATATATCAAATTAATGGCATGAGTTAACCCTCTAATTTTGACAGCACTTTAAATAAACAAATGTTTTCAAAGGGCAACAAATGTTTTTAAATAGAAAGCAGCAATTTGCAGCAGTTTCGAGAGCAAATAACAAATCCCACTGCTTGTGTGTGCACGGCTCTTTGTGGCCATTATTTTAAACTTATTGTGCTGACGTTAAGTAAATTTTGAATGTTACAGTATACCTCCAATGCATTAAGACTTTTCCTTGCAAGCTACAATTTGCAGTGAGCGTGTATTCTCTCTCTTGCGCACAAGCAAATATTTCAATGTATTGTGACAAATATTTAACTTAACGTTAATAGGCCTAAATAATGACCTATATTTTAAAATCTGCAGTTTCCTGTCAGCCCTCTTTCTTGCTTTGTTTCAAGCCGTACTTTTTGATTGTTTAAATTATTATATATTTGAACTTATATTTGAATCAAATGCTATTCACTCGCTGTGAACATTGTGGTGTCTTGTTTCAGAGCTCTTTCATTCATCGTAGTTGCCAAGGTAGCATACAACAAAATCATAATGATGCATCTGTGATCGACCTTCAGGGTTTCATGACAGTAACGTGCACGAGTAGTTATCTAGATTATTTCAGCTGAACTCAGATTTGTTACATCAAATGATCTTCAACTTGCTGTTATGGAACCAATTAAAGTGTGGACATTTAGTTCGGCTCACTAAAGTCAAGTTTTTGACTTTAATTCCCGCTTTTTTAAACCACTTTTATGAAACAGCCCCTAGGGGTTATAAAATAATCCTGGGTGTTCATTAACAGACGTTTCACATTGGTAAACCCTGGGGTAACGCTTTTATTTGTATATTTACATTGTCCCTGTTCCCGATTAGACAAACAGCAGGTAACCTTTTAAATGGCATTTCTGCTTCTTGTCGAGTATATAAAATGTCACCATATAGGTCTTCAGCTAAGCCTTCGGACATGCTCAAAGGCAAGAAAACTGAGACAAAAGTACAAATGAATGAAAACAAGTAGCAAAGTTTGTCATCTTGCCATATTCTCATCACTACAGTTTAAAGCAAATGTGGCATTAAGCATTTGCATAAGTTCATTCATTCATTCTCCTTTAGCTTAGTCTCTTTATTCATTAGGGGTCACCACAGCGGAATGAACCACCAACTTATCCAGCATATGTTTTAAACAGCGGAGGCCCTTCCAGCTGCAACCCAGTAGAGGGAAACATTTGCATAAGTTATATACAATAATGCAAACTCACAAATATAAGCTGAATTATCCGTAATTGCTATGAACATGCAGGATTTGTCTCAACCAGGTCTTCCAAGCAAGTTAAAAATGTTGAGTGGAAGATACACATGAGGGAACACAACAGGAGTAATCTAGACCGAGTGCATTTGATCATTTGCATTTAAAGTCACAGGCACAAAAAGAGCTGGGTTTTCCTCTGACCCCCCAAAATGAAATTTTCTGCAAGGTATATGATCTGATTTTGAGCTGAAACCCCAGACCCATTCTGGAAACATTAAAGACTTTCTTTACATCCTGTAAAAAAAGGTTCATAATAGGAACCCTTTAAAGGGATAGTTAACGCAGAAATGAAAATAGCCTCACCATTTACTCTCCCTCGTGTGGCTTTAAATCTTTGAGTTTCTTGATTCTGCTGAACACAAAAGAAGATATTGTGAAAAACATGCTGGCTTACTTTGTGTTCCAGAAGAAAGGAAATATTTAAAAGACGCAGAGTAAATGGTGAGGTCATTTTAATTTTTGGGGTAAACATCCATTTCATGCTTGTCGCTTTGTGCCTTCATACTAAAGTTCACTTTTCTTTTTTCTTTTTTAGACCTGATAGTGCTGAAAGAAGAGACTCAATGCAATAAAATGGAAGAGCAACACCAAGAAATAACAGCTGATGAAAAACCCACACTGACTGAAAAGACTTCATCACTCGGAAGACCTCGGAAATCCAAAACTGAGTGTAATTTTAGCAGTAAACAGCGTAGAAAGAGTTTCATTCAAAAGCGTAACCTTGGTGTTCACAGGAGAGTTCACACTAGGGAGAAACCTTACACTTGCGAACAGTGTGGAAAGAGTTTTGGTAAAAAGAGAAGCTTAAAGACCCACATGAGAATTCACACTGGAGAGAGGCCGTACACATGTCAACAGTGTGGAAAGAGTTTTAAGCAAATTGGCACCCTTAAAGGCCACATGAGAATTCACACTGGAGAGAGGCCGTACACATGCCAACAATGTGGAAAGAGTTTTAAGCAAAGTGCCACCCTTAAAGGCCACATGAGAAGTCACACTGGAGATAGGCCGTACACATGCCAACAGTGTGGACAAAGCTTCTATTATGCAGGAAACTTTGCAGCGCACAAGAGGATTCACACTGGAGAAAAGCCCTACACATGCCAACAGTGTGGAAAGAGTTTTAAGCAAAGTGGCACCCTTAAAGGCCACATGAGAATTCACAATGGAGGAAAAACACAGTGTGGGAAAAGTTTTGCTCAAAAACAAAAGCTTGACACCCACATGACGATCCACACTGGAGAGAAACCTTACAGATGCACAGAGTGTGGTAAAAGTTTCACATGTAAAAGCTCACTCATTAACCACATGAAAACTCACACCAGAGAGAAGCTGTTTGCATGTAATCAGTGTGGAAAGAGCTTCACATGTAAAGCTAACCTCATGAACCACATGGATGGTCACTCTGGAATCATAGTGTTCATATGTGATCAGTGTGAAAAGAGTCTCACACGCAAAGACTACATTAAGCAACACATGAAGACTCACTCAAGAGAGGATTGTTTTAGATGCAGTGAGTGTGGAAAGAGCTTTAAACAAAAAATATACCTCAGCGCTCACATGAAGCTTCACAATGCAGAGCAGAGTCCTCAACATTGAGACCTTGTCCACACAAACACGAGTATATTGAAAACAGCAGCTTTTTCCATGTAGTTTGGCTGTTCGTTGACATGAAGTTTATTTATAAACTACTTTCGAGAGGATCACATGCTTATTATTGTTCACGACTGGTCCAGCATTAGCTAAAACATGATTCACCAATCAGATGATTCCTGACTCACTATAAATGACAAGAGATTCTTACCTCTGTTATGTTCGTCATTATCTTTTAGACTCCCTAAAGCCCTGTTCAGACTACACAATGCCATTTGTCAGTTACGACAGATGAGATTTGTTTCAGAATATGAGATTTTGACTTGATCAAATCTTGATGTGTTGTGGGTAACAAATGAAGACTTTGGTTTTAAAACACTACACATTTATTTTGATGGACTCATCTCAGAAAAGAGAAAAAAGTTTTCTTCATGAAGACAATTGAACTTTCTATAGACAACTGCTCGCCTTTAAATATACGTTCATGTGAAAACTCCACCATTACTACAAATAAATCATTGTATGGGAAACCCAGTGTCTCTATTGTGAATGAGAACATCAGTGATTTGTTTGCTTACATGCTAATTTCAGTACTCAAATGCAAATCTAAATGTATTTACGTGCATTTCTTTAGTTTTTTAAGGGATAAAACAAAAAAAAAATTCATCTTATTAAAAAAATATCAGGCAGAATATTCCCAGAATTCTGATAAGTAGCCCAAACTGTGAACAAATGTAAATTTGAACTACTGCTCACATGTCCATGCAGATCAACTGATAAGCGTTTACACAAGCCACGGTCAAAACAAATGCAGAATCAAAACTTTTAAAAATCCTGAATCAATATTGGAGTTAGTTTTGCATGCTGGAGGAAGGACGACACCATGGCTGAAGTACAAGTTATGTGACTATTTACAGTTTCATAAGGGACCTTTTTCAGCATCGATAATGTAGATTTTTATTTAGTTTAACAACAAAACATCAGTAAAAAGCGCTATTCCGCTTAGCCTGCTTTACCTAGCTGAAGTTGTTTTTTTATTTACATTGCTTTATTTTTGAACAATGACAACCTGTATGGTCCCTATAATGTTCACCATAGGCAAAACAATAAGCATACAGTAGCGGCTTTAGGACAAAGTGTTTGAGAGAGTGAGTCAGATGAGAGACTGATGACAAGTTTTGCTTGCTAACTACATGACTGAAAACATTTATTCATTCATTCATTTTCTTGTCGGCTTAGTCCCTTTATTAATCCGGGGTCGCCACAGCGGAATGAACCACCAACTTATCCAGTAAGGTTTTTACAAAGCTACAACCCATCTCTGGGAAATTACTAAAAACATGCTAGATATAATACAGTTTTTGTTCAGAATTGTAGTATTATAAAGTTCAACTGGCAAATGACATGATTTAGTGGGTCTCCGTCATCTTTAATGAGCGTGTTCGCGATTTCAGGTGGTGTGGCTTTGGATGACATGGGAGGGATCATATTTGAAAGATATTATGCTTACTAGTTCCCTTTAAAGGGCACCTATGATGCAAATTCACCTTTGGAAGCTGTTTAGACAGAAGTTCATTGTTGCAATAAGGCTTAAATGTTTTCCACCACAAATACATCAAATAACCTTGTTATTTTGACTCTCGGCTTCATCTGTCTCATCATGTCTGTCTCTGTACTGTTTATCCGAACATGACGCAGTAAAAGTAGACATGCATGTAGGAACGATGGGTTGGGAGAACCAGCTCATTTGCATATTAAGGCAATAAAAAAGATGCTAGAATGTCAACTTACCCAAGAATGTTTATCTTCAGCAGGCTGTAATACATAATTTGAGGGGTATTTTGAGCTGAAACTTAGTGAATATAAGTAATTCGAATAATTAATATTAATGGATATCAAACATTGGACGATTCAGTACATTAATAAATTACCACCGTGAAAGTGGCACCATAACAGCGCTGTTGTGGTCCAGTGGTAAGCACATCACGCTATGAAGCTGTCCGACCCAGGTTTGAATCTCACCTGACTAGATATTATTATTATTTTTTTAATGCAATGTAAACAAAACATGTTAGACAAATTACTATTAAAATGATTATGTGTGTATAAACGCAGATAATAACAGTTCATTTAAACAGCTACTTAGTTACTTGGGTTTTTATGCATGACATTTGTTTTTCTGTTTTATAAATACTTGGTGTTAGCAAAGATGGCATCCAATGCACAATTAACCAAAGCCAAAAGTATGAAAAACATAAAAATCTTTTCAAGTTTATAGCCGATTTTCCACTACCATGTTAAACGGTGTTTCCTTAACCGTTCTATTCGGTGCTGATCCAGACCAGAAAAAAAAAAAAATCATAAATAAATAAAATAGTTTCATTTTCCAATCTGCTGCTCTTGTTCTAATACAGATGCCTAAGTTGTTGCCTTGGTAACCTGAGTGTAATAATGGAGTGTCATATAGACCTGGTGACATCATGTACAGGCATACTCTATCAGTTCAGTTTACTGGTACTGCAGTTCACATCTGTAACCATACCAAATGGTGGAAAAGAAGATAATGTTGAATTGGAATTTTTCACTCAAGAGTTAAACAGTAGTGTTATCATGAGTATTCATTCTGTCCGAAACTACAACATATATCAATGTTACTTAGGTTATATATTTTATTTATTTTTATAATTTAATTTTAGATAAAAATAAATAAATAGATAAATGTAATGCATCTTTAATGTAAAAAAAAATAATATATATATAATTTTTGTTTTATTGAAAACTGACATTCTTATTCTTTTTCAATCAACAGGACCCATCGTATATGTAATTGGTGACAGCTACATTCGCCGTGGGGAAGAACGGGCAAGGCAAACTGTTGGGACCAACCTTGGTCTCGACGCCCATATCAGGTGGTTTGGCTGTGGAGGCTTGGTCTGGAGAAACCTTGTCTCTTTCTTTCGCCGCTGTCTTGGAGGAAGAGCTGTGCCAGATGTCCTGCTTATTCACTGTGGCGGAAATGACCTCGGTAACATCAAGAGTGTTATACTTGCCGCAGTGATGAAGCAGGACTTGCAAGACCTCCATAGGCAGTTCCCTCAGATGAAGATCATCTTCTCTGCCATCACCCAGCGATGCCTGTGGAGGCTTGCTGAAAGTCTGAGGAAGGTTGACAGGGCGCGGCGCTTTGTCAACCATGCGATGGCTACTATTATGGTGTCAGTTGGTGGTGCCATTGTTCATCACCCAGAGATAACATATAAAGATCCTGGCCATTTCTTACGTGATGGAGTTCATTTGACCCCTTTGGGCAATGACATATTTTTTAAAAAACCTTGCCCAGTGTCTGAAAAATCAAATCCAGTAGGGTGATGCTGGTTTTGGAGTTTCCACAAAGTTTTGGGATGAAAAATGGCCAAGATTTTTTTTTTTTTATATGGTGATGAATAGGGATGTAACGGTATCAGAATTTCACGGTACGGTAATACCTCGGTATGAATGTCACGGTACGGTATTTATTGAATCATTTACAGGAAAAAACAAAACTTATGAAAATACTCCAAAAAAAAGTGCCAAAAGTGTCAAAGACATACAAATTAGCCATCTATCTGTAAGCTTTGAAACAGGAACTTCAATTTTAATAACAAAAAATTATTAAACCATGTAAAAAAATAAAGTTCAATTTAGTATTGTTGAAAACTCATCACATTCAACATTTAATCACACTCAGCCCATCTGCCCAGATGAGAGCTCTGCTAGTCGGACTTCTCATCAAGCATCTCCCGCTGGATCTAATCTCACTATATTTATTAAACGGGATATTTCATTTATCTTGTTGTCTTTATCTAACGACATATTCCCTGACTTTGGTCATTGGAATCTATTACTTGTTCTCAGGTAACGTGTTTTGGCTGAGCGCAAAGATAAGTTAATGATTAATATAACCACGTCCATCCTGTATATTGACTGATCGCTTGCCTTTATTTTCTATAATGTATAAACTTATTGTATGTTATACTTTTAAAATGGCCATTATCGATTATTAAAACTGATACTCAGCAAAAGAGAGGCTGTGTTTCGTATTTTCACTGAAATTGAAAGGAGGTAGTTGTTATCGGCTCCGTTTTGTTATAAATATCCACACAGTGAAGATGACGCTCATCTTATGCAGCACGACGCCTCAACATGTCTGCTGTCTAAGTTGCTAATATTAAAATGAAAATAGGCAGTTCCTTAAATCATGTTTACATTTTATTGTTGAGAAAGTGAAACAACGAAGCCAGGGTGATGTGAATGAAGTTATAAAGTACACTGTTCCCTTTGAAGATTTACCCGTGTCCTCGGTATAATCTGCTTTTCCATATCAAACTGAGAAGAAGAGACTGCAGCCTTGATCAAACTTGCGAAGTCTGAACTTACACGGAGCGAATGCAGGACTGAACTGTGCGTGTTAGGCTACTTAATATTCAGGAAAAGCCCCAATCAGAGAGGCGAATGTCTGCAGCCCCGCTTCGGTTTTCAGATGTACATGACAGATTAAAGTATCGCACACCAGACGCGCACATTCGAATGATATTTAACATGAAACTAATCAGATGGCGCTCTGTGGCGCGGCTGAAAAATGAACTGCATCCTGAGCCGTTGCCGGGCGCCGCCGACTTGCGGCGCCGGTGTGTGTATCCTGATAGAAACCTATGTTTAGAATTCTAAAATACATG